CAAATTCAAGGCCAGCCTCTGTAGTTTAGTGAGGCCTTAAGCAACTTAGTGAGATTCTGTCTTAAAATAAAAAATAAAAAGGATTGGGGATGTAGCTCAGTGGTAAATTGCCCCTGGGTCAAATCCCCAGTACCCTAAATAAATAAATAAATTTGAGATGGCACTAAAGTGTCTAGAAATATTCTGTGCTAATTCTGTTAATGAAAGAGACCAGAGAATCAGTGAGACTTATAGGAAGGAAACTCCTCATTTTTTATTCCTTATAGTACTGATTGAATAAATGATTAAATAAAGATATTACAAGTTCATAAGGGCACATGGACATACTTAAGTAGTTTTTCTAAAGAAAATTTTGCTATCTAAATACTATTTAATAAGGAAAGCAGGAGTTACCTTAAAATTACTGATTGTATTATTTATCGATAATACGCATTGATTCTAACAATAACAGTAGGGTTCCTCATAGTGCTGTGTGTTTGCCAAAGAAAAGTCCTATTGTGTCAAAAGGGGAGAACCAAAATTACTATACTAAGTGAAAAGTAGGAAAAGTCAGCAGAGAGGGTGATAATTAGGAGTTAAATAGATGGGCTCATAGAGAAGGCCACGGAAGATGAAGTTTGTTTCTTAAGGACCTTTTTTCCCTTTGCAGTGCTGAGACTCCAACCAAGGACATTTTGCCACAGAAGAGGCAAGTGTTCTGTCATTAAGCTATATCCCTGCCCTGAGCAGGGATATTTAAAGGAAACACACTGGACTAAATATTAGCATATCTACACAAATGTTGAGCAGAAAATTAACTTTGTATTTTGGAAAAATTCACATGAGGGAGGCTCTGAAATTTTGGCACAAACTAAAGTAATACTATACAAGTGTTTGCCTTCTTTTAGTTATAAAGTATTGTTGCTCCTTGAGGACTGTTACCCTTCAAGACTGACTGATTATACAAATGAGGTGAGTCACTGTACCCTCTTTGTTCTGTAAGAACATTCATAATTTTTAAACTATGGGTGGCCCAAAACCTAAAGACCTAGGCAAGAGCATCTTCTTATTATTAAACCATTCTTGGAAGACCCAGAATAGGATCACATATTCATTAGCAGACTGGCTATAAAAATTTGATTAGGATCTCAAAATGAATATCTTTAAAAAGTAATTTTAAACATTTGAAAACTTTCTTAGTTAATATATGCCACATGATGCCAAATTCAGAATGTGAAAACAGCATAGATTACAACCTTCCCAACCCCCTTCATGGTGATAATTATCTTTCATCACATATCCTTCCTCAGAGTTTCTGTGCCTTTATAGATGTCATGTATGAGAAAGTTTGTGCTCACAAATGATAGCATATCGTATACATAGTTTTGAATTTTTTTTACTTATAGTTAAAATTGTATCTTAATTTTAAGTAATTATCGTTAAGTAATTATCTTAATTCTTAAAATAAGACATTAAAAATCCAGTTTATGAGCCCATCTTATTAAATGAAAACTCTAGGTCTATATTGTTGTAAGTAAATTTTAGTCAAGTGAGTGTATTGTAATTGGTTTTTGAGTGTAAGCTCTTTCTTGTCATAGTTTTATGTAAGTTAGGGTTATATTTAAATTCTATTTCTGGGGCTGAGATTATAGCTCAATGGTAGAGTGCCTTCTTAGTGTATGTGAGGTCCTGGGTTAATCCCCAGCACTACCCCCTTCAAAAAAATGTTTTTTTACTTCTTATTAATAATCAATATACTACTATACTTCTAATTAATAGACTACTAACATAGACACTCATGCATTCTGTATCCAAATATTTTATATGTGCATAGATGTTTTAAAATAATTTTTTTTTTTTAGTTGTAGATGGACATAATACCTTTATTTATTTATTTTTATGTGGTGCTGAGGATTGTACCCAGTGGCTCATACGTGCTGGGCAAGTGTACTACCACTGAGCTACAACCCCAGCCCTGTGCATAGATTTTAAAATGCCAATTGTATTTAAAATACTTTTTTTCTGAAGTGTAGCAACACTTACATAATAAATTATTTCAATAAGAGCCTTTATTTAGGCACTGGGGTTGTGGCTCAGTGGTAAAGTGCTCATCTAGCATGGTTCAATCTTCAGCACCACATATAAAATAAATAAAATAAAGGTATTGTGTCCTTTACTACAACTAAGAAATAAATGGATTTTTCTTAAAAAGAACCTTTATTTATACATATATAACCAATTAGTTGTAATTAAACTAATAATGAATTGTCAGGAATATTATGATCTTCTTAAAAAGGAGTTTTTTTTTGTTGTTGTTGTTACTGGCAATTGAACACAGGGATGCTACAGCTAGATCCCCAGCTCTTTTTTTTTTTTTTTTAAGAGAGAGAATTTTTAATATTTGTTTTTTAGTTTTTTGGCGAACACAACATCTTTGTTTGTATGTGGTGCTGAGGATCGAAACCCAGGCCGCACGCATGCCAGGCGAGCACACTACTGCTTGAGCCCCATCCCCAGCTCTTTTTATTTTTTATTTTGAGACAGGTTCTTGGCTGTTCCCCAGGATGGCCTTGAACCTGGAATCCTCTTGCCTCAGTGCCCTCCCCCTAGTTGCTAATATTATAGGCCTGTCCCACAGTGCCTGACCTCCTTTTGAGTTTTTATGGAGCCTTCATTACACATCTAATAGACTAGGTGGGGAAATTCAGCATGGCCTATCTCTTCAGATTCTTCAGAACCCCTTCTGAAATGGGGGTCTTATCCTCTATCAACTAAGATAAGTCAGAGAGAGGTAGAGAAGATTTAACAGTCATGAGGGGGTTATGAGGTAGGAATCACAAACAAAACCCGCCAAGTAGATATAATATTACAATAGGCAACAGCAGATATATAATGTAAAATAGTGGTGAATGCTAAAAATAGTTCACCAGAGGATACAGAGTAAGGATTTTTTTTGGGGGGGGGGATGGGGGGGTACTGGGGATTAAACCCAGGCATGCTTAACCACTGAGCCACATCTTCTGCCCTTTTGAATTTTTTAAATTTTTAATTTTTTTTTTTTTTATTTTGAGGCAGTCTTGCTAAGTTCCTGAGGCTGGCCTTGAACTTGGGATCCTATAGCCTTACTGGGATAATAGATATGTGTCACCATGTCCTTCCAGAGTAAGGGTACTTATGGTTCTGGAATGAATAGATAGCTCAAGAAGTGAATTGAGCAGAGACCTAAAAGGTTTAGATAGCTGGAAAAAGAACTGTGCAAGCCGAGTAGTTGAGACAATAGATTGCATGGATATAGCACATTTTATTCATCAATTGCCAGATATTTGGATAACAAAAGCCCACTTTGGAACTATCATAAGTAATACTACGGGGCTGGGGATGTGGCTCAAGCGGTAGCGCGCTCGCCTGGCATGCGTGCGGCCCGGGTTTGATCCTCAGCACCACATACCAACAAAGATGTTGTGTCAGCCGAGAACTAAAAAATAAAAAATATTAAAAATTCTCTCTCTCTCTCTCTCTCTTTAAAAAAAAAAATAAGTAATACTACTATGACATTTGTGTACACATTTTTGTGTGGACATCTTTTCATTTTTCTGGGGTATATGCAGGAGTGGGACTGCTGAATCAAATGTTAACTCTATATTTAACTTTTGAGAAACTCTAGGCTGTTTACCAAAGTGACTACACCATTTTACATTTCTACCAGCAATGTATGAGGGCTCTAATTTCTCTACCTCCCCCTAACACTTATTATTATCTATCGTTTTGATTATAGTTTTTTTAGTGGGTGTGAAGTGGTGTCTCATTGTGGTTTTTACTTGCATTTGCCCGGTGGTTAATGATTCTAAGGATCTTTTCACATGCTTATTAAGGCCACCTCTTTGAGTGACTTTTCTTTTGGAATGGGGATGGATGTCTGTGGTTGGAACTTGGCCTACTTGTTTTTGTTTTGTTTTTTAAATGAGTCAACTAAGCATCTTAAAGTAGCAGCCAAATAAGTAGTCTCTTCTCACTCTTGGTAGAAGGTAAATTAAAGACTTGATTTAATCTACATGTGTGTTTTTATCTTTTTATTTCTGTAAAATGTAACAATAAAGATTTTTTTACATGTGGATATGATTTATTTATTTATTTACATGTGGATATGATTTATATTGTAGTTTGAATTGTTATCAATTGGCCAGAGGTTGGGGGGGGGGACTTTCATTGATATTAGCTTTTTTTTTTTTTTTTGTATTGAAGATTGAACCCAGGGGTGCTTTATCACTGAGCTACATCCCCAGCCCTTTTTATTTTTATTTTTGAGATAGGGTCTTGTTAAGTTGCTTAGGGCTTTGCTGAATTTCTGAGGCTGGTCTCAAACTTGCAGTCCTCCTTCCTCAACCTCCCAAATTGCTGGGATTACAGGTATGTGCCACCATACCTGGCTTCACTGATATATCTTTAAGGCCAAAATTTTGGCGATTTAGTAAATCCTTCAAATGCTCATCAGTAAGACTACAACATCAGTCACAAAGGATTAGAAATGAAACATTTCTTGTAATTTTGTAGAAAGCTATCACATTTATAATGGCAGTGTTTCTCTTAATATCACCAAAGTTTTGCGAATTATGAAAAATGTATAATTTTTTTTAGGAACATATTTAACTTTGGTCATATAATCTAAAATGTGTTAATTTGAAATGACATTCTTGTTTTACTAAATTAAAAATATCTCATTTTAAAGCCCAATGTGGTCACACACACTTGTAATCCTGGCCACTTGAAAGGCTGAGGCAGGAAGATTGCAAATTCAAGGCTAGCCTGGGCAATTTAGCAAGACCCTGTCTAAAATAAAAAATGAAAAGGGATGGGGATGTAGCTCAGTGGTACAGTGCCTCAGGTTCAATTTCTAGTACTGTTCCCCCCATCCAAAAAAAATTGCTTTAGTAGAGATTTTGTTCTCAAAAATGTTATTGCTGCAGTCTAGATTTGGTCTTGTTCATCCAGGTTTGTAAAGTAATTTTTTTTTTCCTTTCCAGAAATACATGCTACAGGATTTAACTATCAGAATGAAGATGAAAAAGTTACCTTGTCTTTTCCTAGTACTCTCCAAACAGGTAAGAGACATGACTTTTGTAAAGTCCTATGATAAATGGTGGCATTTTAGTTATTCCAAAGAAATTTATTGTGTACTGTTTTATCTTTTATTGTTGTTAGCAGATTAAGTTTTAAGAATGATTTTTTTTTTTAAATAAAAAAGGTTCATTGTAATTCAGGGGACACCAAAGTTTTTTTCTCTCTCATGAAACAAGACTAAGGCTCTTTCTACTCTAGAATGCATTTTTTAAAAATATTTATTTTTTAGTTATAGGTGGACACAGTGTCTTTACTTTATGTGGTGCTGAAGATCGAACCTAGTGCCTTACACATGCTGGGCAAGCAGTCTACCTCTGAGCCACAATCCCAGCCCTAGAATGCATTGTTTTTTAGCTTCAGCTTTTTAAAAATACACTTACCTAGACCCATCTTATACTAATTGATTCAAACCTCTAGTTTTATACTCCACATGTAATTCAGATGTACAACCAGCAAATTGTGTTGGGCGTGCAAGGAAAGATTTGTTAAAATGTTATTATTAAAACCCAAAGAAAATGAAGGACTTTCTGAACCTAATATAGTGGAAGAAATTATGTACAAATCAATTGACAAAGCACTAAGAATTCAATAAATGAACAAATGAAAAAGAACAGATAATTCATAGAGAAGAAAATGAAAATGACTATTAAACAATTAAAAAAATATTTAGTTTCTTATTAATGAGAAATATCAAAACAGTGTTGTTTCCAAATTAGTTTTTGCCTGTTATATGAACTGAAGAAAAATATTCCCGATGATATAGTTGCTTTGATATTACTGGTAGGAGTATAAATTTGTATAATTGTTTTGAAAAATAAATTGTCATTGTATATCAGGAACCTAGCAATTCTGCTAATAAATCTGTATTCTTAGTCAGGCACAGTGGTTCACACCTGAAATCCCAGCTGAGGGATTACAGAAGGCTGAGGCAGGAGAATGGCAAGTTTAAGCTCTATTGGGGCAACTTTGTGAGACCCTGTCTACAAATTTAAAAAGGCCTGGGATGTTGCTCAGTGGTTAAACACTTGCTTAGCATGCAGAAGGCTCTGGGTTTAATCTGCACATACCCCCCTCCCCCAAATGTATTCTTAGGAAAAAAATTATTATAATAAAATACTTTATGCTTAGAAGTATCTTATTGTATGTGGTGGTAAAAAAAA